GTATAACTTTAACACCCTTATCAACACTATTAGATTATTTAAGAGGCGGGTCCTCCGAGTTTAACGTCCATCTCTGAAAGGATTGAGCCAATTAGGAAATTCGTGTAAAGTGCCTTTCGCAAGGACACAACGTCTGACCGAGCTGAGGCTCGAACCCCCGAACACACAACCTCACGATTACGAAGCCACCTCTCCTGTCTTTGCAAAGGTGCTCTGTATACAGAGCAAAGGTAAAGCAGAGTAGCTTGGAAAGGAATAAATAAGAGACGGTACGGCAAAAGATATATATCACATACAGTGCAAAGATAGCAGACCGCATAGGTTTTGCGCGTTTTCTGATAACAGGAGTACTACGACTACCAGCTATAGATCTACATGCACTCCTAACCTCCACCCTCTCCCTCTGACCCACCCACTGAAACACCAATTTTTAGAAAGTAAGTGAACATGTAAAAAAAAAATGCTATTCATCCAAAAGGACGTCGAGGATATCCCCCCAAGAGTTCAAGGGGCAAGGAGGTACAATACTCATACTGCTCCGCATAATGGAAACACTACACAGTATATCTCTTCATGTATTTAAGGTCTTTATTTCCCAAAGCAGCATTAATTTGCACGGCCAGAGCAAATGAGTTTCTAGAAAGAATCAAAACCATATCCTCTGAATTTCAAGACACTTTGTGTAACTTTAACCAGTCTCTGTTCTCCGAAAGTGAATGTCTGTTTTGAAATGATGACACAATTGGTTTCTGAAAGTTTCACTAAAATATGTGAACAACATACTTAGATAAAACAAAAGTCAAACAAAGATCTTATTTCCCACTTTAAAAAATGTTTCTCGGAGCTTCCTATAATGGATAAAAAGAAATGAGTATAACAACAACATCATAGGTAACGCACAGAGGTTACTCTCTAAACTGGGACTATTTTCCGAAGGTTAGCTCTTATTTGTGGAACCGCCCAGGGGCTATTCTGCGATCCCTCTATTGCTTGCCTACTTGAAATCAGTTAAGTCAGAACAAGGTTGAGTCAACATCTTGGTGTTGAAGGTGCACACTGAGAGCAAACACTTTTATAGGCTTTAGACTACAGAGAGTCCAATGAGGAGGAAACAAGATCTTGTTTGAGTTGGTATCGAAACTTCTGCACTATCCGACAGAAGATTTATTTCTTTTTTCTTTTTTTTCACGTTAATAAAAATTTGATGCAACCTCCATTTGATAGAAGAATTGTGTCATAGATCCTTGGAAAACTGTCTGGATCTTCGTTCACTCATAAAGAGGGGATTAAATTCGGAAGATGAATGATGCTGTCGTTGATCGACGACAGGGGTATGATATATCGCCAGTTTCTTTCAGCACAGTAACTCCTGCCATTAACTCAAACGAGGACATTGCAGACAACAAGGGAGTGACTAAAGCAACAGCCTGTCGCTGTCTTTCAGATACAAAAATGAACTGAGAATGGATTCCCAGCTGGGCAGGTAGCCCGTGACTTAAGAAGAGCATTCATTCTTGTTGAATTACAAGTACATTGTACTAATATTGAAAATAACATTAGTTGACTTAAGACTAAAAAGTCACAATTCTTATTGTTCGAACCGTTGGGCCTAGTTGGCAAACTGTATTATATAATTGTGTATATCCCGAAGGGGAAACACTGCAGATTTAAGTGAGTGCATCTTTCGAATCAAACATCCCTGTGAGAGGATGAAAAGCTCCAGGAATTTTGCAAACCAACCATTATGCCCAGACCAGTAGTTAGACCTTATCAAGTCAAAGAAAGTCTAAAGAGCATATGCAGTTTTCTTAATCACATTCTAGGACAATAATTTGTTGATGCAAATGAGGGCCTACACACTCCATCGATGTACACATATCAGGTTTTCATCCTCTGCGATTCATGACAACCTGTCTGGAAAGTCGTTTAAAACTTAAAGCCTTCCGTGGGCATTTGACACCTTGCACAAACTGTAACTCTGACAGAAAAGCTATGAACAGCAGGAGACACATTTGTATAGTGCACAAAGCAAGGATATTTTATTTATGGAGGTTTGAGCACTCACTTTTATGCCGCCAGTAATTGTTTACTTGTCCTTTGCCTGTTCAATGTTTGTTTTATAAAAAAAAAAAACATCAACCCCCCCCCCCCCCCCCCACCCAACGTTAAGTTTTGCAGTCATGCAGTCAAAGGATACTGTATTTCCTTTCTTTATATTGGTCGTGTTTTTTCCTATATGATATTTTTGGTTTTCTGTGCTACTATTAACAACATCCTCATTTAATGAGGTTGTTATCAGATAAAAATAATATCCTTTGAAGGATTACTCGAAAAATAGTCGAATATAATCTTAACCGTATTGTTAGAGATACTTCAAGTGATCACAAGTATAATATTGACGCCAAAGACGATGCTACGAGATTTAGATTTACGTCACACATCTGACGTAGAGTTCAACTCAAGTATCGCCCAAGAAGGAATCTCAAGACCTATCAAAAGA